CCTTCCTTCCTTCCTTCCTTCCTTCCTTCCTTCCTTCCTTCCTTCCTTCCTTCCTTCCTTCCTTCCTTCCTTCCTTCCTTCCTTCCTTCCTTCCTTCCTTCCTTCCTTCCTTCCTTCCTTCCTTCCTTACCTTCCTTCCTTCCTTCCTTCCTTCCTACCTTCCTACCTTCCTTCCTTCTTTCCTTCCTTCCTTTCTTCCTAACAAAACGATTGTACCAAACTTATTTTAAAATATTAATTCCTTCATATATTTTTTAATTTTAAAATTAATGATGCACGAGATCATAGTATAATATAATATATTATTTATTCGAATAACATTATTCGTAACCTTACGAATAAATTTATTTTATTTTTCGATATGTGAAGATTTTATATAGGCAATATAATATAAGAAAAAGGAGGAAATAAATATTTTTTATAACAAATAGTAAATCAAATTAAAATTTCTACCTGGCCAAATTCATTTAAAAATTTTTGACCCGAGCTCAGATTTAGCCTAATTTAATCTGTAGGGCTCAATATATAGCACAATTACATAATAGTAGAATAATTGTCATTTAAGTATTTAAAGTGAATCAAAAATTAAATTTAGCCTTTGTCATGGGTTCCTTTTCGAGTTTTTTTAAGCTTATTATAATATACATTTTATAAGATTATTTAAGGGTTTTAGAAAATATTTCCTATTTTTTATCATTAGCTAATTTGGGATTAACAAGTTCCCAAAATTCTATAAAATTTCCGGGAAATCCCTAATATAATCAATACTTAAATGTAGTTCAAAATTTCCTGGAATTTTACATCGTTGCTTATTATTGACGTATAAATAGAGATCAAACTAGTATATTATTTTATCATGATATAAATAATAATTGGTTATATAATATCTTCATGTGATTTTACCCTTCACATATCAGAAAATTTTTATTATATTTAATGTGTTACCAATCAAAATTATTTACAACTATACTAAACCCTGGTCAAAATTGATAATGAGTCTCGATAATATCAGCTATAATATCAATAACATTGGTGTTTGCCAAAAAGTTGGGCTTACTCATAAAAATTATGTTGCACAAAGAGTTTAGAATATTGATAAATTGAAAATGTTATCCGCTGGCGTTAAACTGATTTAAGCTCTAGTTCTCAAAAAATTTGAAGTGCCTCATTGTTAATCTTGTATATATTGCGGTGTATATAGTGATGTTTATTTCCTTGTATTTATTTCTCTAAAAAAATAATGTTCTGATAAATAATATTTAATTTTCCAAATGATATTTTGTCTGCCATATAATTTTTCTAATAAATATTTAAAAAATAAATTTTAATATATGAGGGGAGAGTATATATAAAAACTTGAAACATTTATTTTCCTCCATTTATTTTAGAATTATGAAAAAACTAAATGGAAAATGATTCAATACCAAACCAACCACGTAGAATGTACCCCATTTTTCAAAATTAAAATTTGAAAAGGGGATATGCACCCTTTTTTTTGAAAAATTAGTATCTAATTTTTAAATAATTGTAGTTATTTTCCTATATTTAGATTTTATTGTAAATAAATATTATTTTCCATCTGTCATATTTATTTTATTATTACAATTTTCTCATTTCGCCTTAAACAAAAACAAAATGGTGCAAAATCGGATGATATTATATTATATGAAAAAGGGTATATAATCAATTTATAAATAATATTTTCTTAGATGGTTCTACACATGAAAAGAAAATAAAACCTAATACAATACATGGAATGTGGGTTGTTTAAAATCAATATATATTCATTTTTGCGCTAATTTTTGAGATGCAAAAAGTTTAGCTTATTCTCCAATTAATTTAATATTCAATTTGAGTTGGGCATCTTAATTCTGAAAATATAAAATCAAAGGACGAACATTTTAAAAATATCTTTCTAATTTTTTTAATATTTGGAACAATTTTAGGATTTTTTATTGGGTATAAGGGTTAAGCATTTGAGTTGACTATATTTATGCTTAATATTCTGTTTATTCGAGAATATAAGCATATTATATTGACTTATCATAGAATATATAAATTTAGAGGAGGTATGGTAGCGAAATACTAAGAAATTTATATCATTCCTTTTGTAAAAAGCTGATAGCTCTTATCTCTTATATTATAATAAGATAGATTGGTTACGATGAAATTAAAAACGATTACAATGTAAATGTTTTGTTCTGCACTCAAGCACTATCTAAGATTCAGTGATTGTTAAATATTAATACGTGCATTTTAGACTTAGAAATAGAAATGGTTAGATGTCTATTTTTCAAATATTTTTTATATTTTATAATAAATTTTTCTTTTAAAGATAAAAATTTATTATAATTATAAAATGAGGCTATAATATTACTTATTCGTGCCTTTAATTTTTTAAAGTACTTTATTAATAGAACCATTGGAGTACGCAGCGGGGGGGGGGCAAATCCTCCCCCAAAGCCAAAAAATGCAGATGCCGGATATATTTTTCAAAAATATTATTGTTTATATTAATTTATATTTATTAATATTTATTCATATCTCATATTAAATATATATTTTATTACATTTATTATCACATTCATAAGTTATTTTATCAATCAATTTCGATTTCAAGTTTTCCGGCGTAATATTTAGTTATTATTTTAAAAATTTTAGTGGCGTAATATTTATCTACCATTTTCAAATTTCTAGTCAAATAATAATTATTTCTGAAACTTCTGGTCCAAAAGGGAAAAAGAAATTGCAACCTTGTCCAACGAGATAGAGCCTCTTCCATCAAGCAGTAACAGCTTAAGGAGTTAGAAGAGCCAATTATTTGCTATTACTGAAATATCACAATGACCTAAAAGAAATATTTCCTCAGAAGCAAGAAAATTATTGGATAAAATGCTTATTCCAAATTTTATTTCTCATTAGAATGTATTATTTAATTATACAACTATTTTAAATATTACTTTTCAAAAACATGACATTGATTTGATTAAGAAGGTCAGAATAGCTGAGAGCATTTATCAGAACTCAAGAAAATTAGGGCTAATGTTGATGAAGAATTTTATATTTTACTGTTGAGTCAAAAGCAGAGCTATACGTGTTTAATATTTGTCTCCCTCGACTTGTAGCAAGGCAAGCTCATCGTTAAAACATTAATATAGGATCAGTAGAAGAGTATATCTTAGATGCAGATACATTTATAACCCAAATAAATGAATTTTTAATTCATCATGCACTACTTATATCTGCAAATATTACTTCCACAAAGGCCTTCTCAATTTATTTCAGATGGTGATAGAAAAAAAAATATTTGTTAGATTTTTATTATGAAGATGTTAAAGTATCTTATGATGCCTTACTAGCTGAATAACTATGTTTATAAGATTAACTATAGTTGAAATAGTCCCAAAAATTGCTATGGATGCTCTGCATTATTTCAAACATATTTTAGATTAAATTTCCAATGTATTAAAAGGGTTTTAAACGCTTCCCATTAGTAAACTAATGAGAGAATACTCTCTTTTTTAAGAAGAATAACAGAGGCTTGCAGAAGTACCAATTGCAGGGCACGGCCCGGATTTTTTTTAAAGATTTTTTACGGCCCGGCCTGGGGTTTTTTCAAAAAATTTTCAGGCTCGGCCCGGCTTTTTTTAGGCCCGGCTCGGCTTCTTTTTTTAAAATTTTCAGGCTCGGCCCGGCTTTTTTTAAAATAAAATTTTCAGGCTCGGCCCGGCTTTTTTTAAAATAAAATTTTCAGGCCCGGCCCGGATTTTAATAAATTATATTTTTTGATTTTTATAGCTAATAATAACGATTTCAAATATAGGCTGTTTTAAAAAATACAACCCGGCCTGGGTGTTATTTAAAAAATAATTCAGGCCCGGCTTGGGTGTTTTTTTAAAAATTCTAGTCACTGTCCGGCCCAGAGGCCGGGTCTGCAGGTCTATGAAAAACATACCAAGAAGTACAACATGTGAAAGTAGATTGAAAGGTTTGGATCTTTTGAATATTCATAGGCATTTGACGACAAGTAAGGATGAGATAATTGAAAAATTAGCTCAATCCCAACGAATATTGGATTTTACATTGTAAATATATAACATACAAAATTATTCCTAAGAAACTTTTTGTGTAAAGGCTCAAAAAATTCAAATTTCTATTTTAGGTCATTTAAGTGATTCTTTACATATAATTTTTTTATAATTCACATTAATTTAAAATTGTGTATTAGGAATAGTTATTAGTCCTAATAAATTTATGCTTGATATTTTTAAAAAACAATAATATTTCTTAAAAAAATCCCCCCCCCCCCCCAGACCAAATTCCTGCGTACGCGCCTGAATAGAACAATAAATTTTTTAGATCATTTGTGGAAATAGAAAATTAGGAGGAAATTTAAAGATATGAAAACTACTTTTCTTCCATCAATATTAGAGTTTTATGAAAGTCAAAATTTTATCTAATCATATTTTCTATGGAGGGCGTGTTTGTCCTTAAATCCCCTCCTATACCACTTGTTTGGAAAAAAAAATATGAGAATAAACGATAAAAAACTTATCAAATTTATTCTTATACATTTCGTTTTAAAAATATTTACTTCTTTATAAAATTATTTTAAATTTTAAACAATCCTAGAGCTTCCTCCCTAAATATCCTGGTTTTCATTTTGTTATAATGAATAATAAGTATTTTTCTATCATAAATATTTATCTTTAACTAACATAATAAAATATTAGATTATATTAAAATTGTTATGTTAATTTAAACAATATATTAAATATATATTTTATATTTTGTTGATATTTCATACAAAACATTATGAAATTTTATAATTTAATATATTTATTATTTATTCTATAAAAATAGTTAATTTGGAAATTAAAATTTTCACGTCGATCAAGTTTATTTTGTTGTATAAATGGTAAACAAATAATATCATTGGAAATTATTCAGTGTTTATTGTAATGGTAGACGATTAAATAGGGGAAAACAGCCATATTGAAAAAATGGAAAATACAATTTTGTAAATTCGTAAAATAAATTGATCATACGTTTAAAATTTCGCTAAAATTAATGAATAGACACTGTACCTCAGCATACAATATATGTACTTATCATGCATGATAACTTCGTTTATCAACAAAAAAAAAATTCAATATAAAATTGACATTATGTAAAACCAAATAATCCAACAATCCTAAATTCCTAATATCTTTCTAGCATCTTGCGGAAAGGATTATGAGCAAATTATCATTTAGGGCCCGCCAACTTGACGTTAATAAAGCAATCTGTATATACCGGTATGAAGACTTTTCAAAAATCTCTGATTTTTCTCAGGGTCCCAGATCGGTGGCTCCTATTCCATCAGGAATGGAAAAAGAGGAAGAAAGTGTAAGTTTAATATATTCCAAACTCTTCTATATGTAGAAATATTTCACGTTTAAAATTTGCGTGAGCTTTACCGCCATTTTTTAGATATAGCGCCATCTATTTAATGTTTTATTATTTATTTTATTTACTACTTTTTTTTGGAAATTTCATTATTAAAAAATAATTATTAATATTGCTATAATTATTTTAAAATATCTATTAATTGAAATGTTACCTCACAATTAGGATTGCTCTTTTCATAAATAAAATGTTACAAATGAAACTTGGTCAGTTTATTTGTGAACCCCTTATTGACATTTTTGTTTCTAAATAATTTGACATTTAAACTAATATTTATTATCATATCTGAATATATTCTTTAATTAGTTTTCTGGCCGGGTTTAATTAAATAGCAAGGGGGTTGGTCAATCATGTTATTTAGAAAAATATAATTGTTAGAGATGATTAGTGAGTTGATTTATATGAGGTTTTTTAATGATGAAGGTTTTGACAAATGGGATTGTGAAAAAAGTATTTAATTTCTTGTTTTACTGTTATATATAGTTTTATGACATCTTTTTGCCATAAAAATTCAAAGGAAAATGGTTAAAATCAAAGTTGCACTAATTGATATCACTGATTACAATTTTTATATGAAATCTCCATTTCCACATGAATATATTTTATTTATAAATTTAAGCCTTTACTATATATGTTTATTCAACATAATAAATTTAATATGCAACAAAATTTTAATACTAATAAGAACTAGGAAAGAATTAAAACATTTTCTCTTTTCTTATCTGTTTAGAAATATATGGATCAGAAAAAAAATTTCATGGTTTAATATTGGCAATTTTTTAATTATGTTTAATTATTATTTTGGGTTATGGCTGCTAGATATATGCAATGGACTGGGTTTAGCCCACACATATATTGGGTTGGTATGGTCAGGTTTTCTAAAATATGTTTAACAGTTGGCGGGTGGTGAACAGGTTAAAAATGGATTTTTAAAATAATGAGCAGGTGAATTTATTTTTAATATTTATTAGGCAAAATGAGAACAGACTTCCCTTTATATTGCATATTATATGTTTTAAATAAAGAGTCAAACTAGCCATTAAGGTGGGTTAAACAAATTTCAAAACCTGATAGCTACTCATGTCAGTTATAAAATTGGTGTAACTAATCTTGTGTGTAGAGGTCAGCATGGTATGTCCTTAACCAACCCATGAAAATTTGTAAAGTTTTTTCAACCCATCCTAAACTGGTGTTGGCACCTAAAATAATTTTTTCTATTGTGCGACAAAATTAAATTATTTATGACAGAATATTTTAAATTATTTCTAAGCTTTAAAAAGATTTGCAAAGTAATGTTTTGGCCCATAAAAAATATTTTGCACTAGTTATCTGCAGATTTCTAACTGAGTATGCTAACACCTATACGCATCTTGTTATCAAATAAGTCATTATTTATGCTTTTACTTGAAGTGACAAATTATTTTTGATAAATAGGCAAATAACTTAAAAATATATAATTACATAATAATAATCAGACGGACCTGGAAACCCAATGTCAGCTTATATATCCTGTTCCGATAAAATTAAATTATTTTAAAAATGGGGATTTGACAAACTTACAAGCAAGAAGTAGAGCCCTGCAAATTCTTTTTATATGACCTATACCAAAATATTTAATAATTTTTGAATCCAGCTCAAAATTTTTAGGCCCAATCCTCTTCCGAATTATTATTACATCTCTGCAGATCTATTTTTTCAAATCTAATTTGATCTGATAAAAAAAATTATAGGATTTTTATCATTAATGTTTCTGATCAAAAATTTTATCTTAGAAATAGATTTTATTGATTTTTTTTCACTGTACTCTTAAGAAATTGTGATATTTCAGCAAAATCAGAATGATATTAAGTAGGGGTGTACCGATACCACTTTTTGGAGGCCAATCCAATATTCCAGATATTAAATTGATATCGGCCGAAAACCGATCTGATATCATATCTAATTTTGTATTCTGTAAAGATACTGGTTTTAATTTTTAATATACTTTTTATTAGTACAACATCTATAATTTTACTATACCATAACATATGTCTTTTAAATATATTATAATGATCAGTTATAGTTTATATTCAATTCAATTGCTATTATTTATATAACAAGTAATAACATTAATCTATTTACATAATTAGTAATAAACAAATATATTATGAAATTTGAAATTAATAGTTAAAATTAATATATCGAAGATTTCTTTTTAGAAATACCAAAATTTCCAATTTATCAGAGATCGGTCTGCGGTGATGGGGACTGTTAATATCACTAGCATCACTAAAAACAGATTCTGAAGAGATTAAACTTTTTTAAACAGAATGCGAGAAAAAATAATTATATTGCAGAATGTTTATTAACTAATTATTACTATTAAAAAAATTAAACATAAATATATATTTTGATTTTATTTATAAAAATAAATGGTTTTAACTTTTTTTAAATTTTGTTAAAAGCGCTATTTTATATTGGATCGGATCGGAAAATTTTATATTTGCCGATAACCGATATTTTAAAATATGCGAAATATCGGCCCGATCCGATATAAAATATTGGTACATCCCTAATTATAAGCTGGATGACAATTTTATTGTTAATTCCTGAATAATTGTAAAATATCAAGAAAATAAAAAAATAGTTTAAAATTTTGACAAGTACAAGTCCAGACCATATCATTTTTAAATCAAGGTTGGAATCCAACTGAGTCTGAGTAAATGCCTGACCAACCCATGATCAGTCCACTCTATACTATTATTCTTATTTAACACATTTTTATATGTTTTGTCCGTATCCCTAATTTTAATAATAATATTTCATATTTTATTTTTAAGAATATTTTATTGCATGGCCAGATTTTAAGAAAATTTTTTGTTCCCCAAGCTTGACTTGACCTAAATAAACCCAAACAAGTTTGAGATCAGAACCAACAGTTTAACCTGGTCTAGAATTTTTAATAAAATTCCTATATGGGCCAAAACTAACAATTAGTGCTGCACCAATATATCTTTTATTTTTATTAATTATAAAAATTAATTTGCATATTTAAATAAATTCGAGCCAGGCCAGTAAAACATTTTTAACAAATTTTGGGCCAGGCTTGAAAAATTAGGCCCAATGCAGATCACAAATAGAATTAGGGATATTGTGCCCCTAACTTTGTTCTAAATACTATTCCCCTTTCGCCTATTAAATTGTAATGCATTAAAAATAGCTTGAATAGGTGTAATTACTGTTGTTAAATTGCTCAGCCAACTCAGTTTAGTCCCGAATTGGGCCTGCTCTGAAGCTGAAAAAAGATCCGAGCAGACCAAATGAGCCGACCCAGGTTGATAAATTTGGTTGGAATGACTGATATCTCAATGGTTTGACATTTAAAAATTTTAACTGATATGTTTTAGACGAGTTAGAAGTTTTTAACATTGGAAAGGCTTTCTTTAACTATGATCTATTGGTATACTAATTTTAGATTTTTTTGGAATGCCGATTTTCACGACTCCAACTTAGGTTCGGCGCGTCATAAAAATCTAGCACTTTTTTAGCAACACCAGGCATATAAAACACCTTGGATTACATATATTTACGCGCCTAGATCCAGATTTTGTTTCTATAGAATATCAGATAAAATAAAGGATGGATGATAAATTGTTTTTAAAAAAAGACGTTATTTTTCGATTTAAACCAGACGACAAAAAAATCGATTAGGTTTTTTTGCAACTAACCTAATTTTTATTCCCCTAAACAAAATTAAAATTTAATATTAGTTATTCATTCTCCACGTCATATTATGTTTATCACATTACATGCTCCGGATAACTCTCATTCCCACCACCTCCTATAATTATACATAGTTGCATTACCTTTAAACTTGCATAATTTGAGCACCATGGTGGTCCCAAACCTTCTGCCCGAATTCTATCTGAAATACTTAAAGATTTAGTTTCCCTGATCTGACTATAACCCGTGGTTGCTTTAAATCAAAAAGGGCTCATTTTTATTTATAACAAAATAAATTTAATCGTAAATTCATAACCTTTATTATATTATTAAATTATATTTTTTAAAAAAATTATACTTTTATATTTTACAATGATAATAAATATTAATATTATTTTTATATAGGTTAAAATATGTGTTGACTTTACCGATTTTCTTTCGCATAAATCACCGAAAGCGAGAGACAAAAAATAATAAATAAATAACGGTGGTATCCTCTTGGTATATCCCGATCGCGTTAAATCGCGAAATCATTCCTTAATATTGTCCTTTTTTTGAAGCGTCTGTCGATATTCATGTAGTATCACTAGATTTTAAATCGAAATAGAAATTTAGCACTTATTAAGTATGAGTGGGCCTGCTGGTTCATATAGTCATGGATTCCTGTATAAATCACATGATATTTTTTTTAAATAAACGATAATAGCAAAAGCCAATTCCAATATTCTTGTTTTATTTAACGGATATTCAATTGCTACATTATAACACCATTTTGATTTTTAATTATAAATAATGTATTTTTGACGATGATCTGGGAATTCAGGGTTAGGCCGTGTTCTGGTTCATCTTATTTCTAAACGGTAATCTGTTTAGCCACCTATATAGCCTCCTCTTAAACAGTCTTAAGACGACGCCAACCTATTTAGATTTACGCCAGATAAACGTATCTTTATGACTCTTTCCAAACCAAATATTTATTTAATTTATACACTAAATCTGTTTTAGACAGTTTGTGATAAATAGAAATAAGTTTCAAAAAAATGAAAGCCAGTACACGGTTTATTAATTATTTTTTTATGATGTATAAAAAGTTAATACTAAAAAATTTGACAGCTAATATTTTAGATTAAAATTGGCATTTTGTTAATAATGGCAAGCCTTTAACAATTTTTTTGGACGATTAATTAATCACTGTCTTTTTTAAAAAAACTTAAGCCACAACGTTCGCGTCTAAAATG